ATTTATTGTTGATTTTGATATTATCTAGTATTTTACACATTTGCTTGCTGATTTTTCTCCTCTTTTTTATTTTGGATTTTTATTTTTTATTATTGATTCTGCTGCACGCACACAGCCACACTCTCACACACACAACGGTATAGGCACGGACACATACGCGAGAGAGACGACACACACGGATACACAAATATTAAAGAGCTCTCTTTCGTCTCGTCTCGTTTCTTTACTTTCGATATTTTGTGGTTGTTGTGGTGTTGAATTTTGTTTGTAATTTGCTATTTGATGTTTGGTTTTGATTTGATTTTTATTATGTGTATTTTGTATTTATCTGCTCTCTGGGGAGAGATTTAAGCGTAAACGTTGCTTTGGCAATGAAACACACATACTGTAGAATTAAGCATGTTGCTTTGTTGTTGTTGGTTATAGCTGGAATATGAGAAGAATTAGACTTTCAGTGCACTTTTTGACGCTGGGTATTTGTTTCCTTTTCCGTAATATCTTCACTTATTAGTTAATTTTCTTATTGTTTTAACTTGCTTATTTGTTGCTACACTCACTCACACATTCACGCACATAGATCACAATTACAAGGGTTCGTTCATTCGCTGTTTCATTCATGCAAAAAGAGAGCAAGCCAAGGGAGAGCGACTCAGAAATTGACTTTTTTTCAACTGAAGGCAGCGAGTATACACCGCACACGCACACACACATTTACTTCTAGAAACACACAAACGACGATGAAAGTCGTTGGATTTTCGTTAATCGTTGATGTAGACAAAAAAAAAATAGGTAAGAGTTTTCGGCTTTATTCCAATTTAAACCCAGATAATTTTTGTCTTTCCGAAAAGAACAATACTTTTTCAGAGCTCAAATTAAGATGAGTAATAGAGAAACACCAACACAAACACTCGCGCCCATTGTGAACACATGAAAGTCTCGAGGCATCGGTTATTTTTTGGTTTCGAAAAATATCAGTAATTTTAAACATTTATTTGTATTTAATCTATTACTCAGGCTTGAGTTTCTTGCGCTGTATTTTGTGTTTTTTGCGCACGAATGACGAGTCAGAAATTTTCGAACCGACTGCGAACGCTGGTCGCCACACACAATGGAAATTTTGCTCGCCTAGCTTTGAATCGACCATATGTATATATGGTATATAGCCAGTATGTAGTGTAGTTGTGCCAGCGGCGAGTGGCGAGAGAGCAGAAGAGGCGAGTTGCGGCCGAATTCGAATAGCGGCTTTTGCTCTTTTTGCAGAGCAGAGAGAGAGAGAGAGGAGAGAGGGAGAAAACAAGTTTTACCAGCTAACTGCATTTGCTTTGGTGTGCGTGTGCGTTAGTGGCGGCGGCGTCTGTTTATCTCGCTCTCGCTCGCTCTTTGTGCATCTCTTGGGGATGCAACCATTTTGAGCGAATGGCAGACAGAGAGAGACCGAGCACATAGATCGATTAAATTAAGGGAAAAATCTCAAACTAAAACGAAACTCGAAAGAAATCCGAAATTCCATAAATTATGCACTATACAACACTGCACAGGCACACACACGCACGCAAATATGTAGTGTGCGAAACGTGATACATAGACGGGCAGCAGCATTCCTCTCACACACACACGCACCAAACATACATATACATGGCAGAGCAACCACTTTCGTAGTTTTCCTTTCTCCCTGTTTTCTCTGTTTCTGGGCAGTAATGTGTGTGTACACATCAGATTTTCTGATTTTGACTTTCGGCCACTCGAAATAGCCGAAAAAATGCCATCGATAACTAAAATCGCACAGTTGTTGCATATTCCTCTTTCTTACACTCTCTTCTTTTTCCACCTCTTTCTTTCAATCACACACACACACTAGCATAGGCACAGCGCCGGGGCAGCGACCGCTAGAGCAATTAAAAACCATTAAACATTTCCGCTGCCAATGCTTAAATCGTCTTGAAAATTATTTAATGATTTTGCGCCACAACTATTTGTCAAGCAACGGCACTTGGGCATTATTATTTATATTTAATTTGCTGCAGCTCCTCTTACACACACACAAGCATACAGCGCACACGCATACCCTCTCACTTCTCGGGCATTCGCTTTCGCATTTGCATTTTTCGATCACTTTTCTACGTTTTAATCGTTGTTTTCGGTATCCTTCGGATTACCGATCTAGTTTTCGCTTGATTCTTTACATTTTCTGCCACATTATCTCTCGCATTCGCATACGGAAAAATCTGCGATCGATTTTTATAACAATTCGCAACAAATATCAGGGAAAACTTGCCGTCGGCGGCAGAGCCAGTGTTGCCAGGTAGCACAGACAGAAACCTACTAATAAGGTAGCGCAAAAGCACTAAAAAATACCAAAGAGCACTAACTCTACAAGATGCGAAAGTTTAAAAAATTGCTTCTAAATATAAGGTATGAATTATTTGTTTGTTTCTGTAGGGATGAAGGGATTTCAAAAGCTAATATATAAACATTATGAAAGCTCTCTCAAAATTACGTTTTTTCCGTTATAGCAACGAAATCAGGTAAAACCTTTTAATTAAATTGTTTAAGTGGTGTGAATAGTTGAAGTGATTGGAATCAAGTGTATTCCTATTCATTGAAACTGTTCGGATAAACTGCGTGAACTGACAGATTGATCTAATTTTATGTAAATTCTCCCTTTTACTACTTATTTCAAAGCAAATTGATTTCATATTGACTTCAAACTATAATTTATGATATACAAATTATTCAAACGTAAATAAATATGTTTTGTCACCACTACCATCCAATTGCATTGCATGCACCAGCCTCTTGTGTTTCCCATCCCTAAGAGTGACCGTACTCCTCATGGCCAAAAAGTGTGCACCGAAGCGGCGCTGCCGTGCGAAAACCTGTTTCAGCTCAAGACCGCCGTTAAAACACCCTCTGCGCCGCCCCCTCGGAATTCCATGACACTGCGTGGGGCAATAAAAACAAACAGAACGCTTGGTGGCCACCTGAGAGCGGAGCAGCGACCAACTGTAAAAGTGGGACGCCCGGGAAGAAGAAGACACAGCGGCGGCAGCAGGTGACGCCGACAGCGACGTTGGCAGAGACTCAAGCAGCGGCGGACCTCGAAGATTTCACTTTTCGACGAGCAATTCAACGGAGCGGAGCTAAGAAACGAGATTTTCTCAGAAGCAATTGCAAACAATTGTCGTGTTGTAGGCGAAAATAACTAGAGATTTACCATGTACCGCGCCAGTGGGTTAAGGATTATGCAACAGCTGCGCAGCAGGATTCCCGCCGAGATGCAGGCACTCAGAGTGGTCAAAGCTGCGCCTGCGCTGCAAACTTTCACTTCTCAGCGCTGGACTTCGACGACGATGGCCAGTGGAAAGCATGCCAGTCCACAGGTTACGACCCCGCCCCCGAGACACGACTGGAATAGGGCGGTTAGCGAGGCGGAGCGTATCGTCGGCTATCCCACGTCCTTCCTCAGTCTGCGCTGGTTGCTCAGCGACGAGATCGCCAATGTGGCGCTGCACCTGCGCAAGTTGGTGGGCAGCGCCCATCCGCTGATGAAGACGGCCAAGTGAGTGGTGCTGAAGGGCTCATAAGGCGTTTTAGTTTATCTGAATCTCTCTTTTCAGACACCTGCTCTACAATGGCAAGAACACGATGCAAGCTTGGGGATTGATAGTGCTCCTGGTGTCCAAGGCCGCAGGACACGCACCCAGTGTTCCAGACGTGGAGCAGGACAAGAGTGCCGGAGTGCTGCACTCCCAAAGAGCTTTGGCTGAGGTCACCGAGATGATACGGATATCACATCTGGTTCACAATGTAAGTTTTGGATCCACAAAATGCATTCGAAAGTGACTCGTAAACTGGGCGTCTCAGCGTCTGCGTATGTTTATGCAAATGAGTTTAACTTTCCTCAAATTTATATGACGGGCATGACAAAATGATCATCGATGTGATATTGAAACAACGAACACAAAAATATTGTAATGGATTCTTAAAAACAACTTCTTTCGCCTTTTAGAGCGTGGTTAATCTGCAATCGAGCACGCAGGCTGGCCAGGATGTGGACACCTACGACGACATGTCCTTTGGAAACAAGATCGGCCTGCTGACAGGCGACTACCTTCTGGGCCATTCCAGTGCGGAACTGGCTAATCTGCGCAACCAGGAGGTGGTGGAGCTGATCTCGTCGGCGGTGCGAGACTTCTCCGAGTCGGAATTCATTGGGGAGCGTGATGAGCAAAACAACCCGCTGCCTTATAAGCCAGGAACCTTCCAGCGACCATCTCTCAGCGTTGGAGTGGATTTCAACGAGCACGACGTGATGACGCCAATGCCGATAGCCCAGGTTCTCGGAAATCCGGAGGAGGAATGGGAGTGCCGTAACATACTAAATGCGGGTAGCCTGTTGGGCAAATCCTGCCAAGCTTCGCTGAAGCTGGCCGGACAAAGTGAGGAACTGCAGCGTCATGCTTACCGCTTTGGAAAACATTTGGCGCTCGCTTGGCAGGCTTGCTTGGATGCCGAACCATTTCAATGCCCCCAACTCCCATTGGATGTTACTTTCAGTCTGGTTAGTGCTCCAGTTCTATTCCACTTGGAGCACGACCCTGGGATGTATTCTCAACTGGAGGCTGGCAAGCAATCGGTGGATAACATCGACTACGACAAGATCCACAGGGCCATTCTAGCCGGGCCGGCTTTGGCCAAAACCAAGGAACTGCAACGAAAGCACACAGCCGCCGCCCTGGCTGTTCTGCAACATTTCCCGGCGACGGACGCTCGACAGGCTCTGGAGAACATTATTCTGGCCATGCAGGATCTCTGATCGCAAACAGCAGTTCTTGATTTTTCACGGGTTCAGGGCTTAGGATAGTTGTATTTATTCCTTTGGGTAATTTTTCATTAAAGCAGACATTGTTGACTAATCTTAAATGGTTCATTTAAAGTAATGTTAAATGTTTTATTTTTGTGAACTCTAGGTAATGCTTGGTGCAAGTGCACAGATTATAATTTTGTAAATTGTTTTGAATCCCAAAAGTTCATAACTATTATGTGCACACATACAACGAGGGAAATATATTTCGTCATATAAAAAGTTGTTATTTCACATTTCCCATTACATAGAATTGGATTTGAAAACTCACGAGAGTATAGTATTACACTATATTTATTCACAGAGATTCAAAATACAAGGATAGAGACCCAATAATTCTCCAAAAATTGTCCTAACGTAACAAAGCTATCATTTTCTAAATTATTAAGGTACATCAAGGGGCCATTTGAATCTAAGGAGCAGAACGACTTTTTTGTGCTTTAGCCATTTTAACGACTGGTGATCTTGATCAGAATCAGTTGCTTGCAGCGATCGTACTCGAAATACTGGGGGAAATCCAGAGGCACGTGCTCCATGATCCACGGCTTGTTCGCCGTCTGTCGGACGAGGTACTCGTACATGGGAGCCACCGAATCGCAATCCTCCAGGGTGAACACATAGCGCTTCTCCAGTGCCATGTATATCGTTTTGGGTCTCCCAGTTTGGCGACCTCGATCAAGGAGATTATCCAAGACGGAGATAAAGGCATCGGTAAGCGTATCGCAATAGATTACATCGGCAGCTAGGATTATATCGCTATTGTCTATGGCCTCCAGGAGATCCTGCGACTGATCATTTTTCGACGCGAGAAAATCAAACTCCAGAACTGAGATTGTACCACGGAGAAGTTTGCGATTTCTTTGGACATTGCCGCGGATCAGCTTCAGTATGCATCCCAGATCCACATCCGTGCAATAGATCCTTCCGGGATTGTGTATGCCGGCGGCTATGCTGGTCAGGCCCACACCAGCTCCCAGTTCCATTAGGGTTTTTCTGCAAAACTCATCCTTCTTGGAGAAGAGGTAGTCCGCCAGAAGAAGGGCTCCCCGCCACACCTGCAAGCCCACCAGTCGCAGCTCCGTTGCCTCGGAATGTTCCAATTCGATCACGCCACGTTTTGGCCTTGGCACCTCAAGGTCGCCGTCCTCATCCGTCCTAATCCCCGGTAGCTGCTCCTCCGGATAGACGAATCGGAACTTCGACACCACCTTACCGCCGTCGCGGGTCGTCTGGTAGTTGTTCTCTCCGTAGATCTCCGACGTGACCGTGAACATGATTCTGTTATGTATGCGGCCAAGAGCATAGAGTATATAAATTTAATGTTGCGGTCAGTTGAGACATCTTCCCCGGGCGTCGTGCTCGATTACAGAATCGGTATCGCCAATCGGCGGACGGAAAGTGTTTTTGCACTCTGTCTTTGCACAGTGGGTCGTGAGGGCAACTATGTACATTTACCTTAACTATTTGAAAATAATTAAATTTTGTGAAAATGTCATATGTTCACTCATCTTAAGGCAAGCATAGTAAACCGCATACCTGACGGCCGATAATTAAAATAATTAATTATAAAATTATAAATAAATTAAATCATAATTATAAAATTATGAATAAATTAAATTATAATTACATTAAATAGAATAGAATAGATATATACACTTAAAGTTACAAATCACTAATTTTGAGAAGTGGTTGGGATTGCGATTAGGGTGAAGCCATATATAGCCAAAGTGTGTGAGCCATATTCTCGAATTTTGCCCACTGTGCCAATCAGCTGCTTGCAGTGCTGGCTTGCAATGCAGAAAAACCTGGTCACACTGGCCATTTAGGCGTGCACCGTCGGCAGCAAAAACTATCAAATCGAATTTAAAATAATGGAAGACGAGGACGATCCCGTCGTGGAGGAGGTGAGTGTGTGAGTGGCACTATCAATCCCATGAGTACAACGCCCGCCACTCTCTTCCAGATTCCCGTATTCCTGTCAAAGAACCTGCGGGACAGCTTGTACCTCTTTCAATACCCCACGAAAACGGAGCTCCCGAACCACGACGACTCCGTGATTGTCAATTGTTGTGTCAAACCAATCGCCCAGGAGGTAAAAGTGGACTTCGGCCTGGACATTGAGTCGGCCCACTTCGATCGCTTCAAGGGCGAGCAGTTTGCGGTGGCCGCCGACGGAAAGAACACCTATGGAGCAGTGCCACCAAAGGGTCAGGAGCGACCCACCTACAAACGTGGGATCATGGACAAACAGGCCTTCACAAGCTCGCGTTCCATAACCGATGTGGCCAAGTACATAGTGGGCATCTTTACGGATCGGGAGGTGCATCTTTCGCCACTCACATCCATAGTCCAAATGCGCCCTGTTCTCAGCCACTTCGATAAGGACGACAAGCGCAAAAAGGCGGAACAAAAGGCTCAAACGGAGGACACAGAGGATGACGAGGTGCTGCAGCAAGTCACGGTTAAATTTTCTCGCGGTAGTGCCAAAAACAGCGGAAAGGAGCAACGTGCTGGCACCTATGACGGTTTCGTCCAACGAATTGCGGATGAGCCTTGGTGCGAGGCCTACTGGCACTCGAGGGCCACGCCCACCGCCGAACTGGAGCGCCAGAAGCTCTTCGCCACCAGTCATCACGGCAGTTCCTCTTTGGCCCTCGCTCCTGGCGAATATCTTCGAAAGCTTCTTCCCTACGATGAGCACGTGCAGACGGTAGCCCCAGCTGCTGCTTCTGCTGCCGCCCAAGTACTTCCCGTCTACAACAAGGCCATGCTGAAGTCTATGCCGCTGCTGGAGCAGCTTACAGTGCTACTGAGGGATGCCCGGATGCTCTCGTTCAGCGATGTCATTAGTATTCTCGCGGAGCATGTGGATCCTCATGTGGCTGCGGACAAGGTGCTGGCTCTGCTGCCCCAGGTGGGCATCCTACTGCACGGCAACTGGGTGCCAAAATCCGAGGTGGTCTTTCCCGAGAAGATGCTCTCCCATGCGAACGGTGTGTCCGCAGAGCAGATGATTCGCGCCAGAGATTATATAGTGAGTTCTTGTACGGGTGGAACGATTACTTATCATGTACTAACCGTCTAAATTCCTTACCCAGCTCTTCCGTTTCTCTCGCACGCCCTACCTGTTCCGAGCTCAGGTAATGGCCGCTACGCAGTTGCCTCCTGCGGAAACACTTGACGTTTTAAAGACTGTGGCCCGAGTGAACAACACAAAACGCTGGGAGCTGCTACTGCCACCCGATAAGGAGTTCGAGCAGAAGTATCCGGAACTGGTTAGCCGACAGGAGTACCACTGGACGGCTTCCGAGCAGCACTACAACGAAATGGACTGGGCTAGGGAAACCAAACGGGTTCGCAAACGATCGACGAGGAAGAGTGAGTCCCAGTCCCTGACCTCATCCATGCCGCCGCCCGCAATGAATCACTCAACAACTGGCTCCGTGGATGCGTAGCATCGGATGATGATCTCCCAAAGGCGGAGGATCGGAAGCACAACTATACATCTAGGCACTAATAAAAAGACCAACAAGTTTATTTTGTTAAAGAAGTGACTTTGTGATCTGTTCTGTAATTTCTCCAGCCAAAATGTTCCTATTGGATCTGGTCACCTGGTAGATGTTCGATCCTGCAGACTTTCTCAGCTGCTCCACCAAATCCAGCGCTGATTTCTCGGGTATAGTGACCAATAGGGCCCGCTTTTCCTTTAGAAGATCAGCCATGGCCGACTCAAACCGCTTGCTAAGCAGCTCCATTTTGCCCACTTCATCAACGACCAGGAGCTCCGGTTCTGGCTGGGAATCCCGGGTACCAAGTAGTGGAAGAGCGAGACTTTCAAAGTCCTGCACAAACACCGAATACTTTCCCACTTTGGGGCGACGCAGCTGGTCTCCCGGATTCTCACGAGATAGGATTCCCCGTTTTCCGGACAAAGTGACCACATCGAACCCGATTCTTTGGCTGATTCCCTCACCACGCACTTCCTCTGTATAGAATCCCTGAAGAATGTGTCCTTTATCTCGCAGAGCCGAGCAGATTTTATGGACCAGTGTAGTTTTACCTACTCCTGGAAATTATAGTGCCAATTATGTCTAGCTTATAGCAAACATTTTCTTAGTTAAGCGTCCACCTGGTGGCCCTGTAATTAAAACAGTTTTATTAGCGCTCTTCATATCGACTTTTTTTGTTATGATTTTAAAGAATATTTTTCAGAGGAACTAGATCAACCAGGAATGGATCATAGACAGCTCCAAAAATAGCTCGTTTTATACGCTTTATAACAAAATAAAGAAAAATACTTTTAAAAATTTCTATATAACTTTAGTTATTTATTTTAGTTATATTTCGTGCAACTCTATTGCTATATTTCTATTAACTTTAGTTATTTATTTTAGTTATATTTCGTGCAACTCTTTAATATGATATAAACACCTAGAAGTTTAAAATGAAACGGTCGTTTTAGAATGACCCTTTTAATGCGGTATATTGTGCACGAACACGAAAAGGTATTTCGATTGGAGCGCTCTACGGTCACACTGCCGGTATGACGCGGCGCCCCCAGCACGGCCACACTGTTTCCAGACGTCGAACGAAGAGCGCGTTGTGTTTGTTCGTCGCGCGTGAATTGAAAATCCGTAATTCCGAGAATATCCGTAATCTCCCTCCGATCCGCACCAACTGTTGCTCGCGATTTGTAGTGCAGGCCCGCTTTAGCAGCGGAGAGTTATATTCCAAGGTCATTCAATACAATACGAGTGAAGTTTTCAACTCGCAGCAAGCTGCATTTTCAGTTCTTTATTGTGAGATTCAAAGTGGTTCTGCCTGTTTCGCTGTTTTATCACCCCTCCTCCACCTCCCCTCATTCGCGCGAGTGCGTGTGCGTGGCGGGGCTATAATGTTTTGGCCACAAAACCATATCAAATAGGAGTGCAGCCGATCCCCGCAAAGGTTATAAACGAAATATGTCCGAGGCCGATCTGAAGAATCTCTCCCAGAACTCGGATGGCGATCAGGAATTGCTGCTCCATCAGACCACGCAGTCCCTTCTGATGGCCAGTTCCATGATGTTTGTGGAAAATCCAAAAGGGGCTGGCGGTTCCGGTGGGGGTGTCGCCCTACCTGGACCCGTTTCCATGCCCCTGCCGCTCTCCATCGCGATGCCCCATCACCATCTCCATGCGATCCCCTACAATGTGGACGAGCTGCTCAGGGAGAACAACGCCCTGCACGCCAAAATCAAGGAGCTGAGTCTGGAGCGCGATCGCCTGCTCTGTGAGGTGTCCAATCTGCGGCTGGAGCTGGATATGTCGGAGCTCAAGCGGCTGCCCATCGATCTCGATGATAAGTAAGTGCTACTTTCTGGTAATATGCTACCTTATATTTTAAAAGGGTGTTATATTTTGTATAAGGGTGAATTTCCTATTGGAAATTGCGATTAATGGGATCGTCCAATAGGAAAAGTCGAACTTCTTATTTGCGCTTGCAAAATCGTTTTCGATTTATTTGCTGTTCTCAGCAATTTGATTTCAACATAATTGTAAAGAATCATTGCCAACAATCATTCGTTAGAAATATGCATTATAAAGAAAAATTCTTGGATAAATACCCTGTTAAATAAGGCTATTTATTAAGTATTACTTGCACACATATTTCCCCGCTTTGTGCTTGCATAAGGATCCAAAACTTTCCGTTAGGTAATATAATCAGTAAAGAAATAGTAATCATCTTTAAATTTATACATTTTATATATATATTACAATATATATTTAAAATCGGCCAGCTGCCCTATATAAACTGCATTTAAAGCTCTTCTTTGGTGCTTCTTATCGGAGCGGCTTTTTATTTTTAAGATTCATGGTAAGGCCTTGGATATTTCTTTGTATGTTTTTATTTATATCATAATTTATTCTGCGATTTTTAATCCAAAGACTCAGAGTCTTTAGCATTTTAACAAAACCACAAATATATTTGATTTTTTTGGATCGCCATTTTGGGCTGCATTTCCGTGACCCCCGACTCCAATGTTTCCTTGCCCCCGGGTGTCGCTGTTGAGTCAACTTCTGGTTGAGTCACATTCATTCGTCCCCTTGTCCTTGTCCTTGCCACCTTGGCAGCTGCAGGCCGACAAGTCCGAGTGCGACTTCTGGTTTTTGCAACCCCTTTTTGCACTCCTGCTACCTGTGGGCTAATCGACACAGTCGCGGTCGCAATATTAAGTGCGCAGTGCCGATAGGTATTTCCCTACTGAAAAACCTCCTGCTTATCTGTTCCAGAACACTAGATAGTGTTGTATTTTTTTCGTTGCCAAATTGAATGAGTCAGTTCTGCTGTTAGCACTACAGTTGTTCTCGCTTATCGATCGGTTAGAATTCTTTATTTGTTTAGTTCTATCGCCCTGTGTTTCCCTTGCTGATAACTAATGTGTAGTGCTACTTCGGGAGATAGGAGCAGTCTCAGTAAATTCAATGTTAAGACCGAGTTTCGATCACTTATTTGGGGTCTTTCCTGGGGAGATTAACCCGACAAATGCACGGGCAAACAAGCAAAGAAATATTATGAACCATACGCCTGGCATTTGCCATTGACAGCCGAATATATTTGGAAGTATCTCAATATTCGTACCTGACTTTGCTTTGCATGCGGTCATGCCCCACCGCAGACAATCTTTTAAATACAGATATTTTTGTATATATGCATATACAAAGTGGGCGCAAATAAAGCGCAGTTATCTTTTAACCGTTTTCTTTATTTTCGGGGCTTCTTGGCCTCTAAGGTCTGCTAGAAGAATCGTGGGCTCTTCCAATTATGCGGCTTGCGTTTTCTGTTTATATTTTATTTCTTGGTTTTGGCAGCTCACCTTCGCCAAAAATGTTAACACAAAACACCAGAAACTTTTACACTGGCGTTTATCGAACTTGTAGATACTATTTTTGAAGTACAATGAAAAACGATTATTCATTGGAGTCGTAGTGTTTTGTTAATCATGTTTTCTCCATTTAATCTGCATTATAATCACTTCAGATATCTTATAATCGCATAGTTTTGTTCCACAATCATACATATGTATTAATACTCAGAGCAAATTAATTTGAATAAGTGAGTTTGTTAGTGAATCACGATAAGCTACAGGAACATTTACTCAAACATCCTCTGTCTATAAGGATAATTTCCTCACTTGTACCTTCTTTTTCCCTCTTAATTAGTGAATCTAAATGTAATGTAGAAATGCTTACCATGGCTAAAATCCACTTACAGATTAGTTGAACAAGATAAGCTGCACGCACCCAGTTGGTGTATTATGGTCTTTTATTATGGGAAAGAGTATGTCGCGATGATACATTAAATTTAAGATTTGAGATGTTGTTGAAAATGTGCGGGCAGCTTTCGGACTTATGAGTAAGGTTCCGCTGCTCCATGGTTGTTGGTCTGGGTAAACTTCTGCACTTAGTCAGTACGCTCCACTCAAAGTACGCTGGCAAAAATAAAAACTACACATAGATATTATATTTAATGTGTTTAAATTGGAATGAATACACTCATTTTGGTTTGACTGTTAAATATTTATATATTCTTGAAGCTTAAAAGTAACATGTGCATACATTCTTGAAGAATTCTAAATTGTTTGATTAAAATAACAAACTTTTGTAAAAGATAAAATGCAAAATAATAGCATTTTATAACAGTGTAGTCACCATTTCGCTGCTAGACTTGCCGCAGAGTTCAACTCATTAGCCAGTTATCATCATCTAATAAAGCAGACACACGCACCAGAGAAAAATGTTTAATGTGGAAAAGGGGGGGTGGAAAACACTTGCCCATTTGAAAAGTGCTTTCAACGTTGCTCTGGGTCTCTTTGTGATAATTAAGCGAGTGTAGTGGAGAGTATTAATTTCGTACGCCCCCCTTTAAAATGGTCATGGGAGGGGGTTTCCGGGGGGTGGTCAAGAGGAGGTGGATGGGATAACGTTTTCCGACTACTTAATGAGTGCGTACTGTATTCTGTAACTTTAGTAGGTGAAGTAGTTCTCTGGCCTTCTTGCCACTACTACACTTCTGTTTCATTTGCATGCAACATTTGGAGTGAAGACTGCGGTTGCCTTATTACAAAAGGGGCGTAGTTGAGGGGGATACTGGGGGGGGCGGGAAGTTTGATGGTCAAAATGGGAGCCATGCGTGCTGCGAATATCTCTGAGGTTTGAGAGCAAAACTTTTGTTTTAATTAAAAGATATGCCAAATGGACATGCAAGTTGGGGGTTGGATGATCTAAATGCACCAGCAGATGGGAACTACTTTGAAAAGGGGGTGGAGTTGAAAATGAGATAGTAATTGCATAAATAACATGCTGATTCTTAAGTGATTCCCACTGTAGTCTTTGTTTCTATCACAGATCCAGATGGTTTCTTAATTGCGGTTACGTTTTTTGGCGTTAACCCAAAAAACCAATTCGGTAAAGGCAGTACTTCTATTTTACCACGCTCTTCTTATGGTTGCGAAAGATTTATTGTGGTTTGTTTGTGATTTTGATTTACAGTTGGTTTCTCGATTATGGATTACTATCCTCAGGGTTAAAGTACATAATAAACTATTTAAAGTGTAGAGATCTTTAAGTTGTGGTTTCTTCAACTTCCTGATTGTTTTTGTAAGCCCTGTTACTGGTTTAAAAACAATTTTGTTTTTCATATTGTGATATGATATGATATGATATGATCTAGAATGTACTATGTAATCCTTAAAATATATGTGAGTTATAACTTTTTTTTTATTAAAGACCTAACAATAATAAATAAATGAATAAATAAATGATATTAAATTGAATACAATTCCCTTCAGCTATTTCAATTATTATGACAAAGTACTTATCCATCACCAGTAATTTCTCTCAATTATTCAGATGGGGAAGTGTTTAGATACCATAATTTTCCTCCCAAAGTTCTCGGTTGCAAATTAACACAATTAAGTTGATCGCTTTTCTGGGTTATTCCAGTGATCCCCGAACACATCTGGATAGTCGGGGGAACCATGTGTCGGTGCTTCCGACTAGACCATTTATAATGCATGCAATAAACGAAAACAAATTTCTCGGTTTTCAATCGAAAAGTGAGATCATCGACGTGCTGGCCAGCCGAAGAACAATAATTAAAATCATTTATATGAAATGTTTAATAAACAATGTCATTGCCAAACTGTTCAGTCTCATGTGTTCAGACTAAACTGTCAAGTCACAGCAGAAAAAGCGCTTGCGAAA